TCTTCCAATGCCATTATATATATATATATATATATATATATATATATATATATATATATTTCAAGCCAAAGAAAACACTTTTCCCTATGCGGCATCGTCCATGACACCTTCCGTCAGTTCATCCAGACGACGTCTGTACATCTCAGAGACTTCACGTCGCTGCATCGCAAAGGACGCATCATCTTGTATACTACTCACTCGATAACTACTATTATTACTATAATTGGTATTATTATTATTATTATTATTATTATTATTATTATTATTATTATTGTTATTATTATTAGTTTGATTCTCATTATTGACATCATCACCGCCGTTATTTGGATTATTACTTCCATCACCATTTCCACCATTTCCTCCTCCACCAGGTGGACGATATTCCGTTGATGATCCTTCCTGCATGGCCCGCAATCTTAATTGTTCCTCATGTTGAATGTGTAGAAGAAGCTCCAAATTGGCTATAATAGTTTCCACCGTCTCCTTCTTCACTTGTTCACGTGAACGGACAGTCACTAATATATTCCCAACACTCAAACAAGCCCCAAAGCGACGGCGTAATAATGCCCATTCCTGTTGCGTAATAGACATGGCAAGATTTAACATGGTCATCATAAAGATAAGAATAAAAATAACGGTCATGAGATTGGCTAATATACCCACAAAAATATCAACAGACTTCTCCGCATTCTCAATTGCAGGAAGAATAGCATCACCGTACATCATAAAGTATAGAGCCATTAGGGAAAAACTCATATCCGTAAATTCACCATTAGAATGGGGACCAAACACAATCCAGAAGAAAAACGCAAAACCAATGAATATAGGTGCAATCGTCAAGGCAAAAAAGAGTAATCGTGGAATAACATTTCGTGTCGCTCGCACAGTAAAATACATTTTTGGAAATAAGCGAAAATACGACTGTAAACTTACACAAAGAAACATAGCCGCTAATCCCAATATAATATTCTCATAAATTTCAAATGATTCCGTTATCATAGCATTCCTCATACGAAGAAATGCCATTATTCCATATACAATAATAAGAATATCTGAAAAAATTGAAATATAATGCCAACCTTCTCCTCTTGAATTTTTAAGTTGATTTCGCCAAGCATCATGAAAATCTGTATAAGTTGTTTCCGGCATTAATGAACAGGCATTATGTGCAATTGTTGTTGAATTTGATTTTGGAAAATAATGACGAATATGTTGAAATAAACTTTTTGGAGTTTGAAGAGGTACATCACTCGTAATGGTGACATTACTACTTTGTGTTTGTAAAGAAGAAGTAACACACCCCTCAGCTTCAAACTCCACACTTACATCCGGTGCTCTTCTCATATCATCTGGATATTCCGAAACTCCACAAGTAATCTTTCTTTTTGAAGGAGAATTAATGTGTTTAATATCTCTGCAGGAGTTTACACATTGCGGAGATTCTTCTTGAGATCCCCGTTGAGTTATTAATACGGTCCGTCTATATGCCGCAATACGCATTAATGCTCTCCAACGAAGTGTAATATCTATCATGGCGAGTAGAATGAGAATACCTGTAAAGATAAAACGTAAATGCCAACGTGGACCAATATATCTCGCATTCACAAAAACTTCAAAGGTTGCCTCTACAAGACCACCAGGATGAAATGAAAAAGTTTCCTCAACAGTCCAGTGATAGACAACAATGGAAAATCCAGTATTGTGATCTTGTCGATATTCCGTTGCATCCACCATATGCCGCATAGATGCAGATAATCGAATACTTCGTGTATTGTCCAATAAGGGAAATAAAAAACCATTATCATTCGTTTCTTCACGGTTCATACTATTTTTATATGAAGAAACATCTGTTGATGAATCATCTTCTTTAAAAGAAGCACGACAAGGATTATAATAGCGACCCGTGATGTCATCATATCGTGGGGCGCACAAAACTTTTAAATACGTGTCATCGTTCACGGAAGGAATCAATTTTCGTTCCTTCTTACTTTTAGAACGAGTAGCCATATTATTATTATTATTATTATTATTATTATTATTATTATTATTATTATTATTATTATTATTATCTTCATTATCATCATAATCATCAATACTATCATTGGTAAATGGACCAAGTGGATCTTTATCTGTTAACTCGTACGTAAAGTGATGTACAGATGCTGGACCACGGTGTTCATGTTGAGAAAAGAGAAAAACTTCCATATTCATCTCAACAGGCTTTACCCAATCTGTATTCAATTCTTCTCCAAACTCATCATCATTCCTTGTAGATCCATGCAACATTGCATACACCGCACGTAGACGATGTGGAGGTTCATCCATTAATACCTGTTTTAATAAAGATTCTCCTTTCTTATCACCATTGGCATAGTAAAAGTATTTTAACTCACTTACAGAAGTATTGGATAACGCATAATAGGTATTCACAAAATCTTTAATACCTTTTAAAACATCTTCACGGGTGTGTAAATAAACGGTTGGTTGAAGTACAATATCCCCTTTTTCTTTCGCAATGTAATCTTCACCCAAAAAATGATAAAGAACCGCCTTACGTTGTTCTTGATTTGCCGTACGTTCTGGAGTACTATACAGTGTGATGAGGGAAATGAGCACAATAAGCATTACACAATTGATTACAAATCTGTATGGAAGTTGCCTCGCACATCGAGTCTTTTCTGTGGAATCGACAAAAATATCTTCACTTCGTCGACTCCTTGAGGAAGGACAGGATTTTCCCGCCTTACTGTATTGTATAGTGTGATCATCTAAATAGAGATTAGGAGTCTCTACGACACTATTTGTATTTTCTTCTTCTTTTTCTGCTGCTGTTTCTCCTTCTCGTGTATTCTTTGGTGATTGCTGTGTTTGATTTGGCCCTGGGGGATCTACACGGAAGGAGAGTGTTGATAGATTTTCTTCAAAGAAGGGAGACACACCCCTTCTTTCGTCCATCTCACTTTCTTCTCTTAAAAGGGATTGAGAGGAAATTTTCTAAGAAACGAAAAATAATAATACAAAAATAATAATAATAGTAAATAAACGCACTTTTTTTCGACTTTCTGTATTCCCGTTTCTTAGTTGTTGTTTTCTGTTTTCTCTGTTTGTTTGCTTATTGTTGATATTGCCGTAGTTGTGTGATTGCCCCACGATTTGTTGTTATTATCCTCGTATTATATATATATGTATATATAATACTGTTGTTGCTGTTTGTTTGTTTTTTTTTTTTTTT